AAAATTTGATTGGTTAATTGAGTTCAAGTTGTCGAGTTTTTATATACCCTAAATTAATGGATTAGTTTGAAGATCTAATTAATTAGCAACATTAAGTGTATTTCCCCATCAACATAACGTAATAGGACCTTAAACGGTAAACACTAATAATGCAAGTACGAAATATTTAGATATGACAAATTTAAACGCCAATCCCCTAAATCCACCCATTAATTCTTTCCCACTTATCGCATGTCAAAATCTATGTTATGATCCTTATTCCTTCCACTTGATGATTGTTCATCATGATCAACTAAATATTTTAGGGCACGTTCTTTTATTTAAAAAACTCAAAAAAAGACAATTCGAGTTCTAATTTTATTTAAATTCACATTCTTTTAAGTTTTAACTTTATTCAATTTTTAACTTTATTCAAGTTACAACTTTAACTTAAATTATAACTCAAATTCAACTTAAAAATTATACTCAAATTACACTCTAAAAGAACGATCCTAGTTATCTTCCATTCAGGTTAGTAGGTTACAAACAACAATATTATAATTAATATAATATACATAGCTTTTTTTTTTTTTTTTGAAGAAGGAAATAGTTCTTGATAACTTCAACCGTCATACATTAAAAAAAAAAAAAAAAAAAAAAAAAAAAAAAAAAAAAAAAAACACTTCAACCATCACCGGATACTTGTCACGGAACTTGAGACTTTTGTACGGATGAGTTTTGGATTACGCCAAATTGACATGTCTAGTGTTTGGACTTTTGTAACTGCTTTGTTTTCTGTCCTTATCTTTTCGAGGAATATTGATTCTTCTTGGATCCATGCCGCGTGGAACAACTTAACGAAACAGATTTGCCTTGGCAATAGCAATTAGAAAGCAATTGTTTATTCTTGCATTCGATTGATTGATTGAGTACGTTCAAGGGATGTTTATATAAATGGTGTTCGGTTGTAATTATAGTAAGGTGATTTGAGTATAAATTTTAAATTAAATTTAAATTAAAATTATAATTTAAATTTGTATTTAAATACATTTAAGTTATGATTTAAATTGAGTCTTAAGTTTATTTCATTTCGTCGATTCGAGTTTAAAATTTGAGTTTTACTACAGTAAAATACTCTCAGAAACAATCACTTCTAACTTTTTTGTTACAGTAAAAAGCTCTCACATAAAATCACATCTCAATTCGAATTAAAAACTCGAATCAACGAACTGAACGGACCCTTAGTGTTTATAGAAAAATTGGGTTATTAAGGACCCATTTAGTTCCCTGATTTGAGTTTTTAATTCGAATTGAGATGTGACTTTATATGAAAACTTTTTACTGTAGTAAAAAAATAATAAAAAATAAAAAATAAATAGATGTGACTATTTCTAAGAGCTTTTGACTGTAACAAAACTCGAATCGGTGAAATGAACGGGACCTAAGTGTTAATTTCGGACTTTCAACATAAGGACATTTTGATCTTAATTAAAACTTTTAATTTTGACAAATTTTTTTGAATTTTCAATTATTGATAGTTATGATCTATGACATTAAAATGTACGAATTATTTTTTAAAATTTAACATAAATAATTATATTCTTATTACATGATAACTCAAAATTTTATGTAAATAATAAGAATAAGCATAAACTGTTATAGTATTCAAACAAGTTTTAATAGTAATAAAAAAAGAAAATTTTCCATTTTCAGTAAATAAAAAAAAGAAATTTTCCATATAACGTATCTCCATTTTAAAATATTAAGTTATTACGTGACGAACACATAATTATTTTAGTTAAGGACCCGTTTAGTTCGCTGATTCGAGTTTTTAATTCGAGTTGAGATGTGATTTTATGTGAGAACTTTTTACTGTAGTAAAAAAGTTAGATGTGACTGTTTCTGAATACTTTTTATTGTAGCAAAACTTGGATTCTAAACTCGAATCGGTGAAATGAACGCTCTAAGAGATTAAAATATTTCAAAGTTAAAAGTTCAATGATCACTAATTTTGTAGAATTAACTTCAAAGAAGGAATACTTTCTTTTTTTTTCCCTTCAGATTATAAGGATGTTTCGTATTTGACCCAATGCCTCTCACTAATCGAAACACAAACACAATAGTAATCAATTATGAGACGTTTGGTTCATGGGTTCAGAATTATAATTTATGATTCTGATTTTTTAAATTTACTTTTTTTATGAGAAAAAAATTTATAAAAAATTAAGAACTATAATTCAGAATTATGGATGAACCTTGAAACAACACCCCATTAACGTTTGAGGGCAATGATCTTTGTACAGTTATGTGTATTATATAATAAAGATTTCCGTATTAGGGGGCTACTGAAATTACGTGAGGAGCATTTACTTAGAATGATTTATATTATGTATTCATATGCAAGATTCAATATCACAATTTACTAGTTCATATCTAAGCTAGTTTGAAGTGCCACGCAAAAAAAAAAAAAAACAAAAAAACAAAAAGAAGAAATTAGAGGTAACTGAAAACTTTGTTGCCCACGTGTACAGAACGGCTATATGATCAGGGACAGAGTCGTATTGGTCCCCAGCCTAGCATGTGCAAGTGTGGTCCAATACCATTCCTGTATCAATGAATTCTATAGAAAAGAAGTGAACGAAGTTAGTTGCGTTCGTTTGGTTGGAGAATTTAAACCATGTGATTCAAATTATTTTTGATTTACGTGTATTTTTTGTGAGAAAAAATACTGTAACAAATCACGAATCATGATTCGAATCAGAGAACGAATTTCTCTACCAAACGTCAGTTTACGGTTTACTTATAGCTTTATACGGGCCCACATAGATATGAAGCAAGTGTACGGCATCAAAAAAATGGAACTGTACAGCATTGACTCGATCTTTTTTTTTTTTTTTTTTTCTCTGAAGATCAGATAGCTTCTTCATAACGTTTAGTCTCTTTCAAAAAATAAAGTGTACGTTTAGAATTGTTGAAAGTTGTTTTTTCTTTTTTCTTTTTCTTTTTTTAGTATTTATTAACAAAGTTATAGTAAATAAATAATAATTAATTATATTATATATTAATAATTAATAAATAGATATACTTAATAATTAATAAATAGATAGCAATTATTTAATTATTAATTAAATATTAACTTATTACTATTAAGTTTTTCATTTTATTAATAAAATAATAAATAATATAGTAATTAATTATTTAGTTAAAGATTAATTGCCCAAAATTAATTATGTA